TGTTTTTATATAAAATTTTCATGTTTCTCTTTGTGCTTGTTGTTGAAAAAAACATCGCATCGCAAGGAATCCTACATGCATAGAGAAATATTATATAGTCTGCCTACATGTCTAAGAAATAAAAACAATAGATTTTTTCCACCGCAGCCAACCTACTTCTTTCATAAATACCCTACTAGAAGTTATGGTGTGATTTTACATCGAATTTATTTTTATTAACACTCTTTAATTAGCTTCTCATGTATTTATCTATCTACATAACGGAATCTTTTAATGTAATTTTCAAAAATTTGTAAATGACCGATTGACTTTCATATTCGCACTTGTATCGTGCCCGATGACAATACAGTAATTTAATAACTTTATTCTAGTATCCTGGAACTCCGAGATAAAATAAAATAATTAACAGGAACATCACAGCGCATGATCAATGCGTGTTGTTTTTATTATTTTTAATACGATTTTCTTATCTTCGCGTGTATCCACGAGCGTCTATACATATATTATACCTACTACACTTGGTGTCATAGATTACTGAATATACTAGAGATTGGTATAATTTATTATTTTAAAAACGGATGACAACAGATTTTTTCTTTCTTTGGTAACGAACTCCTACGATTGTACTTTTGCCAGATCCAAGTAATTAAGAAATTATCCTCACTAGCAGACTTATTGAAGCGATGGCGTAGCTTCTAAAATTTAAAAAATTGTTGCGTTTTTTTTTGCTTTAGTAATAGACTTTTACAGTTGTCCTTTGCCAGAATCGTGAAATAAGAAAAAAAATCCTTTATTATAGTTTGTTTAAAAATTTATTCACAATATGTTGATGCATCACATTGCGAAGTTTTTGGGAATATTTTAAAGGCGTTTTGAGCCAGCAGACATTCGATTATGAAAGTATTTCATGGCGCTAAGCATCATTTACATCATCGTTTCCCCTAATAGTTCACATGCGCAAACATATAATACACAAAATAGCACCAATTCTATGTATAAACATTCAAAATTCACATCATATAATCGTTTAAACAAAACAATATACAAGTAGCAATTTGTCAGTGGTCAAGTTCTCGCCAAAAACCAGAATTTTATATAAGAAATCCGTTTCACGTGGATGACGTCACTCGAAGATTACTGCGTGGCTCACTGATACTGCGTTGTTGTTTTCACTACCAAGAATAAATATAAATATTGTGGTGACCCGAAAAGAATTTTGACAAAATGGAAATTAAAATCATATACCTACACATATACATAACCATACATACATCTGCGAATGTGTAGACTCGACTGGGTTAGGGCCTCGTTCGAAGTGAATATTAGTGTAAAAGTAGCAAATTGCTGATGTGTTTAGTACGGTGAGTAACGAGAACCGGAGGCCCGCTTTACTAGAAACGAGGTAATTAATTATTCCTAGTTGTTTAACGAGTACGTTGTCTGTGTCACAGCATCCACTTTTCACTGCGGAATTTGTGCTCTTTAGACATCAACACTTTTTAAAATGTACTTAACTAGGTACTTAACGTAAAAAATATACTTATTTTAGTAAATAGTGTTATTCTAATTCAATACAAGTAGCGAGCAAGCGATATTTCATCTACTTTTAATAATAGTTTACTGAGTCGTGGTGGTGTAAGAATTTCTACTATCCAATATTGTATTTTAATAATAATAAAGCAGAATAATATGTTTGAATTATCAACTTCAACGACATCGTACAGCTGTGCTCGTGTAAATAAAGATTATTATTATCTTTGGGGTATTTATATAGTTTTCTAATCTGGTTGGGCTGTATAAATACAAACAGTTCATTCAGATAAAGAATGGGATTAGAAATGGCGTCTTATCGAACCTGTACCGTCAACATGCACAGTACCAATATCGAAAACCCGTTAATAACGGTATATTGTTATAACTTTATATTATTCGGTTAATTGGAAAATTTTCATTAATGAGGTAATTGAAAATAATTGTATAAGCAAGTAGATACATTAATTCAGATATATCATTTATAACTAGTGAGCTGCTCTGGTTTCGCCTGGGTGGGATTTATTAATGTGGTGTTATTTAGACTTAAGATAATGGGTGCGTTTGGCAGAAAAAAGCGCTAGCAAGCGCTTGTAAGCAAAATGGCGATCGTAAGCGGTAAGCGCTGTCAAATCGTAAGTAGCTATTTTCCTCCAGGACACGATGTTAGTTTTCACAGGGGAACCTAACGTAATTTAAATATATGTTTGTAAAGTATTCATATCAAAAAAATTTTAATAACATGTATAACATGTTTATTCATGTCATTACATTACTTAAAACTAATATTGCTCAAAACAACTTATAAACTCTACTTCAAAACAAACAAATTAATTAAGCAAAATGGCGGATTGTGTCAGCGCTATTGAAGTAGCAAACGCGTCCTGGCCGAAAACTATTGTAGCGCTTGTAAGCGCTTGCTAGCGCTTTTTTCTGCCAAACGCACCCAATAATCATTAAAAATAATTTATTTTATGTTATCAATACTTCTATTTTAATAAATTCTCAAAATTCTGCGGATAAAATTTAGTCCAGATCACTCCTGGTATTAGTCTCTATTTGTTCGTGAAGTTACATTAAGTACAATCGGTTCGTACATTCCCAAGATGAGCTCTGAGAGACAAATGAAAATTTTAAAAATGGCTGATATATATATTTTATACAAAATATTAACAAGCAAAATCAACAATAATTATGAAGAAAACTCTCAGAACTTAAATTAGCGAAACCAGACTAATTTTTTTGTCGTTTATGCCATTTTGTTATCATTGATTCTAATGACAAATTTTACTGAAGTTATAAAACGTACGAAAAACTCATATAGCAAGGTATTTTTTGCACTCTACCGGCGGTATGAGTATAGGTAGCGATAGGGTGTGAGCGAAAAATTAATAGAGACTTTGCAATTTTCAATCTTATTCTTTAACGGAACGGGTAATGAATGAAAATAATAAATATACTCAAATCTACAGTAATAAAGTAAAATAAATTAAAAAAATACAAATAAATAAAAACCCAACCAGATAGAAGCCCTCGGCAGGGAAGAGGAAGCGGCCGAGGGTTAGAGAGATGCGGACGGTTTCGAGGAGCACTGCCTTTACATTTGATCTCTGCATTTCAGCACGGAGCGGTCCGTCACCCGCAGCCTGTTTGCGGAAACAACCACAGGAATAATTTCGGGGGGCCGACTCCCACGAGTGTCGATCACCTCATGAGCAGGGTTCATTATTGTTATTATTACATATTATATCATCATTGGGTGCGTTTGGCAGAAAAAAGCGCTAGCAAGCGCTTATAAGCGCTAAAATAGTTTTCGGCCAGGACACGATTGCTACTTCAGTAGCGCTGACACAATCCGCCATTTTGCTTATTTAATTTGTTTGTTTTGAAGTAGAGTTTATAAGTTGTTTTGTGCAATATTAGTTTTAAGTAATATAATGACATGAATAGACATATACATGTTATTAAAAATTCATGATTGGTAAGTTTTTAATATGAATACTTTACAAACATATATTTAAATTAGGTTATATTCCCCCGGTTAAAACTAACATCGTGTCCTGGAGGAAAATAGCTACTTACGATTTGACAGCGCTTACCGCTTACGATCGCCATTTTGCTTACAAGCGCTTGCTAGCGCTTTTTTCTGCCAAAGGCACCCATTCAGTGGGTGTCGTAAGAGGCGACAGAGGGAAATAAACCAGGAGATGGGCAGCAGGCAGCAGCGTCTTCCTAATAACGACTACAAATAAAAAACTGCGGTTGCCAACCTGCTAGCCAAGCATGGCAACTATGGCAAATATGTCGAAGGTAATTTATGGGGTAGGTCTATGTTCAGCAGTGGATTTTAATAAGCTGTTATCGGTAAGAGTAATAATTCCGGCTGTATTGTGATTGCCATTTCTTACAAATTATAGAACATTCAAAAGGCGACCTTTTTGTTATAGATACTAGTATGTTGCCTAGCATTCAGTAGAATGCTGTTTTTTTATAAATTAAATCAAGCAGTATAGGTATATAAAAATATAGTATACTGATTCAGAATTTTGAACGAATGACGACGCGTGTACATTATCAAGACATATCTCATAATTTTAATTTTAAGCATTATTTTAATAACATTGCAAGTATTAGGTATTAGTAACGATCTTAAAATCCACTTGTTGCTATTGCTACATAAACATTTTAAAAAGAATTGCAAGGCGAAGAAGTAGGAACATCCCTTCTATCACATCGTATTTTACTGTCAGGGTGCAATCATTTACAAACGTCAAAACAAAACTTTCAAATTGAAATTGGTAATTGCATGCTTGATAAGGATCGGCTTCTAATTCATGATTATTTACCGTAGTGCTAGGCTTCCTCGTGGTTCACTTAAGTCGAAAATTCCACTACGAAAGCGGTTACACCAAAAGCGCACAATGCGCTCGTTAGTCGCATCTTCTCCAAACGCAGCGCTGATATTGAGAACGGACTGAACTGCGTTGACCCACGACGAATCGTCGAAACTTATTCGATAATTATTCTACTTTTTATTTATTAAACTATTTTATTCATTTAACTATTTTTAAAACTGAATCTACAAACAAAAGTCAAGCAATAAAATGTGATGCTTGATCTTAGAAACGTGATCAAAACCTTTTTTTTTATAATTTGTTCACGTATCTAAGATCATGCAACAAAAAAAAGGCAACTTAATATACTTTAACCCCTAATATTGATATATTTATGGAGAATATAATTACTCAGCGATTTCTACTGATTTTTTTTACACATATGTTTCTATTAATAACATTAAAGTAATCACACGTCCCAAACAATGAGATATTTATCCGCAGACTCATGATTCTTTTCCATCTATAATTGCCACTATGAAGGTCAACCGACCCTGTACGTCTTTGCAGTAACATATAACCGTCACGGCGACCGCTTAGTTCCAATCATGATGTTACAACAACTGCACATATAAAATGTTGCTCGGTTTCCTGTTAACAGTCACATTACTCTCGAGCGTTAACAGCAACGAGGAAAGTAACAAAGTCACAAAACCTTATGTCGTTTTTCCCGTACCATTTGATTTGCCCAATCGAAACGATCGTGCAACTCAGTGCTGGCTGCGGATCGAGGATGTTGAAGTGGTTGAAACTGTTGCTGTGTACTGTACTATAGCGTTGACATTTATACGTTACCACATCCATGAATATAACTCCAGGAAAATGACGGAGGACGGTGTGGACGTTAGTCTTTGGCGAGAAGAGCCTCTGTCCCCTAAGGATTTCGTGTTAACCGCCCCGGAGGTAGGCGAGAGCAACGGTAAGGATTGGAAGGTATCTACAGTGTTGGACCCTATTACTCGCATGAGGATATATGTGACACAGAAAGCGGATTGCAAACTTATTATTTACAGTAGGGAAGGAGTGTCTAACTACAAAGTGGATTGTGATAGAATTTTGTATTATGTGAACAGTCAAATGAGCAGTGCAACAAGCAGCCGTGGACAAGTGAACTTACTAGTGTTTATGTTAACCAGTGTGTTATTTGTTGTTAAATAAACCGGCATCTTCACTGGTTTTTGTAATTAACGAATTGTTTATATGAGATAAATATGCCAATTCGTAATACTTTACCGTAAGGGAAACTACGAGCACACACATTTTTTTTTTGGTAAACATAATAGTGTAATTATTAAATAAATGATAATTTTTACTAGGTTTTACTACGTTGAGAAACAGTGTTTGTGGTGATTATTATTTACTTCAACGAATTATAATTTGGTAAACGAATTATAAGTAGGTAACACCTGTTTTATGAAGGTCGTGGTTTAAATACTAAAGTGAATAATTAACGAATACCAGACATTTGATAAAACTAATTTTACGGAATATTACGCGTTTAATTGAACTTATTTTTACCTATTTTAATACACAACGTTTCGGGTGCTTTACAGCACCCGTGGTCACGAGCAGTCTCCAGTATATGTTCAGTAATCTATGGTCACGTGGGAACTGAGGTTTTTAACGTCCCGATGTCATAGTTAAGTCCAGCCAGCCCTGTTAAGCACCCAAACATAAGCACAACAACAAACGGGAACTAGAATAAGTAAAAATAAATTCAATTAAACGCGATAAAATCTTTAAAATTAATTTTATTAAGGTGTATTTTGTCAAAAAGTAGTAGAACACGTATGTGACATTGTTATTTACGTCGGACGCATGTTTAGTGTCTACCCGACGAGAGTCCACAGTTAAACCTCATTTGGATCTCATTTTTAGCCGACTTTAAAAGGTGGAGGTTCTCGATTCGACTGTATATTTTTTATGTATGTTACGTGACATCTTCGCAGATTATGAACCGATTTTAACGACTTGTTTCAATCATATATTTTAATTTGTTTTCGTGATCTAACACGTTTAGTTATTAATTGCCCCTGGTTTTATATCACAAGTGTTACACCGGATGTAAGTCAGGAAACATAATTAAATCTGCACTACTGACATTACCATTCGGATATGGAGAGTCAATAAAATAACAGACTGTAAGGCATTTCATTATTGTCCTCAGTGGTGACAAACCATTTCTAGCCTTTTTTACTTTTTGAGGTTAGCCACTTACCATTAGCACGGTAATTTTATCTATAAGGATATATATATATATATATATATATATATATATATATATATATATATACATATATATATATTACCACAGTCTAAAGTGAGCGTATTTATTTATTTTATATCAGAAAATACAGATTTTTAACAAATTTTAAAACATGCAGGCGATCTTCGCAATTAATTATTTTTGTTTTTAAATGTGTAGTTCCAAATAAAAATATACCTACGTTCTGTTGTACAAAACACCTATAAAAGCATATATTTACCGAAATCTATTTCTTTTGGAAACAAAATGCGCATAGCAATTTCAAATTTAAATTTACTAAAAGTCTATACATCTTAGTATTATGGAAACTAATTACAATTAGGTACATAAACAAACACTATCGTTTAGTTTCAAATTTGGACAAAAAGAAAATAAAATCTTTATTAACTTCGTAGAAAAACTGACAGAGTAGACAAAGCTAGTCAATGAAACTATAATTAATTGGGTGACGGCGTGTCAGCTTAGCAAGAAATACTTATTTCATTTATGTAACATTTTTCTTTTGACTTTTAATACACCTACAGGTAAAAAATTAGTATTGTCACAAGCTGCTACACGTTTATTTTTTACTGCACAATCGGCATATAGCGACTACGTTATACTTTTGGCTAGTCTACCAGGCTCCACCTGAAATGAATATTTAGGCTTTAGGATCTCCATTAATTCTCTCCTTTATCATCATAAACAAACATGTTTCTTTTTCGTGGTAGAGCCATTACGCAGCTATATTAGTAGTATAGTTGTAGTACGAATGAGTCGGCTCGACCGGGGAAGGACCACGCTCTCACAGAATACCAGCGTAAAGTAGTAGCTTAATGCTGCTGTGTTTCGTATGGTGAGTCTAGAGAACCGTAGACCCTTTTTTTACTGGAAAAGAGGCATTTCATATCAGTCCTCACGGGTAACAACGCCTCTGCATTTTGATTCGTGATCGAGGATTGATGTAGATGTCTATGGGCCGCAGCAACCAGTCACCATCAGGTGGACTGTGTGCTCGTTTGTCACCCTCATCTCATTAAAAAAAATTAAAAAATAATCAAATCAAAATTCGAGTTGTATATTTTTTATAATTATAACAAATTGCATACTTATTGTCTTTAGGTTAAGTAATTTCACCTGTTGTTCATGTAAAACGAAAGGGACGAATATACAATGAGATTAATGTAGTTATTGAGCTCATTCGTGCGAAACGTCAACCAACCGTAAAATACACAATAAAAAAGTTTACTACGGGTCAGATTACTGGTACTAGTTGAGACATACATAAAATATAGTAGTAATTTATACACTCTTTGCTAGCGTATTGGGAGTCCAATATTAGACATGAAAGTAAATTAACTTGAAGCGTCTTCAGAATTTTGCCATAAAGTTCATATTCGGCCTTTGCAAATATGATCATGTTTCAGAGATTCGTTACAACCTCAAGTGTCTCCTAATTAGACTTCGCCGAAATACCCACTTATATTCTACCGTTGGGTACTGTACTATGTAGTATTTGATTCGAAAACACCGAGATAATATCAAAGCAAAATTTGAGTTCTTGGGTACGAATAAAGATTATTCTTTCAATTTTTCCTTTTTTGTTGAAGCTTTATCATTATTGAATTCACTTACATTAATTTATTAATATAAATACATATATATAATAGAAATAAATTAAAATTCTGCTTAATATTTTAATGACGTAATATTTTTATTAATGTGATTTCCCAGAAACGGCTCTACAGATTTAAATTTATCTCACAATGTGATCCCCTTTAACAGCCTGGCCACGGGACATTCGCCGTAGCGCGAACGGCGAGGCGTCTAGCGACTAAAACAATTGTATAGAAATGTATGGATCAAGCCACGCGGGCTTATCGGGCGAATTGCGCGGGTCGTCCGCGGCGGCGCCAGCCCGCGGACGACCCGCGAAACAAAGGTATGAATCAGTACGATGCAAGTGCAAGCCACGGAGTCGGGCGGCAGACGCGGCGAAAACCGGCGAATAGTATAGAGAACAAAATATTTTTGTTGTTTTCGCCGCGAAAAATGCCGGGCCGACAAAAACAACTTCCCGTGGCCCTCAATTCACGTTTGCCGCCGCGACCAGTTAGGCCGAGAGTGAAATGTCTTTATCAAAGTTATCCCGATATTGCTTAGAAAGTAATTGTTTTTTGATTCAAGACATAATATTTGGAAGAGATTGTGGAGTACATGATTTGAACAGGAATTGGGTTATAGATGGAGAATTCCACAACAAATAGAATGCATCTAGAAAAAGTTTTCGAGTAAATTCAAAATGAGTGTCGAAACCTGCGATTATATTCTTGTTAATATTCAACCAGAATTGTAGATAAAAATCAATGCGGATAGAATTTTAAGTTGTTTTTGTCGGGCCGGCATTTTTCGCGGCGAAAACAACTAAAATATTTTGTTCCCTATACTATTCGCCACGTCTGCCGCCGCGTCTGCCATCCGACTCCGTGGCTTGCACCGTACTGATACATACATTTGTTTCAGTCGCCCGCCGCGCCGCCAGTCGCCCGCGCGATTCGCCCGGTAAATTTCTCGCGTCGCCACTCGCCGCTACGCGTGGCTTGCTCCATACATTTCTATACATTTGTTTTAGTCGCTAGACGCCTCGCCGTTCGCGCCGCGAGAATTTTCGCTACGGCGAATGTCCCGTGGGCAGGCTGTTCCCCGTGGCCAGGCCGTAAATTTGAAGGAAAAATTCTACCTCTAGAGCTAGTGTGAAACAACTGGGATAGGAAGTTTTTATTGCAATCATTATTAGACGGCATTCTAGTCGTTGTCAAGGTAATCAAAAAGCAATATCATAAGCTCAATTGAGTCGAATCGAGCTGGTGATATTGCTTAGGCCACTAAAAGGGGTAGTAAAATTAAACATTAAATAAAAAGTAAAAAAAAAACAAAAACAACTGAAGTCGGGGCTTTAATTATTTGATACACTGTCGCAATACCGACAAAATTATGATCCGACTTAATTTTTAATTATTTGATACACTGTCTTAATACCGACAATTATGAACCGACTTAATTTTTAATTATTTGATACCATTGAGTTATACAAAACTAAATCACCTAATCAATGTTTGATAGACAATCTTTAATTTTTTTAATATATAATACCGATAATTATGAACCGACTTAATTTTTTTTAAATATATGTTTATACTTATGCAGTGGTTCCATATAATTTTGAAGGATTTTCACTTCTCAGGGTGAAATAAATGAAAATTTTTTCGATATAACTCTCTAGATGACAAGAGTTTGTAGTATTCTATAGTTTACTCAAAAGGTCAAAAAATTTAAACTTTTAATGAAAAGCTTCTGAATGACGTTGCTTGTGAAGTCAGAGCTATAAAACTTTATTAACCAACCATTTAATATATTATTTATTGTACACATTGAAATTAAAACAAAATGAAATAAATTAATTAAATTAATTAGAAGGTACAATCTATCTCTCAATATCTCTGGAAACGATTTCTTCCCTACAAATTTTATACTTTATGTCTTAGCATCGATTTCTAAAGCTATTACGTGGTAATTTTTTTAAATCGGCTTTTAGGTTTAGTTAAGTCGATATTTACTTTAAAAAATTAACTTAATTACTAATTTTTGTTATACTTATATGGTTTCTTATGTATGTATCTAAAAATTTCATTGGTACCGGCAATTATAGGCATAAACCAAGTGCTGGACAACGTAGAAAATATCATAACAAAACGTATACTTAAGAGAAATTTTAAAAAATCAAGACGTAAAGCCGGCCAATTTGAATTAAAGCAGTGCAGGAGGCTTTCTTGCTCTATAGTTCTCAGAAATGGAATAAGGCTGTTAATTGGCTGCTTTTGTTAGTATGGTGCCTGAAACAAGAAAATTATAA